GCGTAGCAGGCAAAACGTGTGGTAAGTAGAAGTGCGACGGTGAATATTTTCAGCAACTGAACCCTGGCTAAGACTGAGTATTAAATAAACGGAGTTTTGTGTCGCGTGTCTGGTTTTCGACAAAAAATACTTGACAACGAAATGTTATTGCATGAACAGAAGTGGATAAAAGAGACATGACATACCAAAGTCAGGCACATCTTTTTGTGGAAACACTTTATTCCATTATCTACAACTATTCTGTTGCTCAAGTTCTGTGCATTTTAAATGCTTACTAAAATGTTATTGCCTCGGAAAAACTTCTCCAAGCATTTTCTTCAATCAGTAAGTGCTCTGTAAGTAAAAAATATCTCACGGAGCAAAAATATTGTACTATTTTCCATTCTCTTATCTACAAACACCTACCAATAATACTCTGTTGCTTAACATTTTTCAATTGCAATACATTGTCTTTACAGTTAAGAAGAATTTACTTAAAAATATGATGAAAACGATCCTTATGTCCAATAAATGACTCAGAAAAGAGAACCCTCCTCAAGGGGTGAAATATAAGGAACAACTTTCAGTACTGGTAAAAAAAATATAACATTGTTACGCTTTGTTCTATGTTTACATCCAATAACTCTTTAAAAAAATGGCATATTTAATTCTTTCATTTTTACTACTGGTTCAGAGCACACCTTAAGTTGAATTCGAATTCTCGTGCTGCTACCGGTTTAAAATGTTGTAGATTAAATCTCACTTGATAACAGGGATTCATTTAGAAAAGTCAGTTTTTATACATGTGCAACTGTCTCCTATGAGGTTTCGTTTAGTTTGGGGACCTCGCCCAAAGTTATGAATTTCATTTACTTCTCATTCGAGGTTATGACTAAATGTTCAGATCTGGCTATACGCGATTCCATCTTATGACATTTCACATCAATAGTAAAAGGATACAATTATACAGATACATGCAAAATATGACAGATATAAGAAATTAATTTTAAATGGACCAAATCAAAGGTTATTGCGCGTTGAAGAAGTCTTTAAGGCCTTACTTCAAAACTGCCTTGATCACAAACTAACAAAGGTCATGTCTGTTCTTGTAGTAAACAGAATAAATTCGCAAACAGGATCTACTGGGTAAGCTAGTGTTACCAGTGTATCTTGTATAT